CTCTTTCTCTCTCTCTCTCTCTCTCTCTCTATATATATATATATATATATATATATATATATATATATATACATATATATACATACATATATATATATACATACATATATACATACATACATACATACATACATTTTCATTTACACATGTCTGATTAAACAATTTAGAAATGTGTTTGTTTATTTTCAATAATATCCTTTTGTAATCACATATAAGTTTTGTTGTTTCATGTTTAAAGAGAGGAAGGAAGGTACCATGGTTTTATTTATTCATTTTTATTTTTGTTGACATGATCTTTGTTGCTGGTAATATTTTTTTTCTTCAAAAATTCATTGCTGGTAACAAGCTTTTACAAAAATGTATTTTAGGTATTAAAATCTATTTTTATGCTTTTATAGTATTTTGACACCAGTTTGTGGGTTAACTATTTGCCTATAGCTGGGGCCCTAACATGTGCTTCCACTCCGGGTCTGGGTGGACCTGGCAACACCAGCAATTTTCCACACTCCTCAAAACCTCCTGATCAGCTTGCTGCTGGATGTAGTTTATCATCTTACCCAGGACAGTGTAGTAGTTAGGACATTCACTCTTATAATTAAGAGTGCATGAGTAGGTTTTTTATATGAGAAGGCAGTTAATGTATTATTATTGATGTCTATTAATATATCAAGAAAAAGGAATTTTATTATTAAGTTCATATGTGAATTTAAGGACAGAATTATTTTTTTTTAATTCTTGTTGTAGTTCATGTATTTCATCAGTGTTTTTTACTAAGATGAAGATATTGTCAACATATCTTGGGTAAATGGAGGTTTTTTTTACATTTACTAAATATATTATTTTTAAGGCTAGTCATATAAAAATTACTAAAAGTTGGTGATTAACATTAGGTTTGCACATTATGTAAACGAAATAAAAGATAATTTATCAGATAGTCTGAGGTGCAGAGTGTCATCAAAAAAATCTTACTTTGTCTTTTCAATTTCCAGTTATATGAAAACTGCCTTCAAAAGAATAAGCTAAAAAAAAAACAATTACATTTGTAAAATCAACCCAATGGTTTCTTGAATGTAAAATGTTATATTTTCATTATTTGCTTTCTTCTTTTCTTTTGTGGACATGTTGAATATTTTGACAAAGCCAAATAATTTACAACTCCTCAACTTTTTACACTGGAAATAAGCTGAGTCAGTTGATGTATTCATTATCATTTCTTTTCTGTAACAAACAAAAAAAAAAAAGAATATTTTTCTTTAAGGATTGTGTGCAGGGAACAGCAAAAGTATATATACATTTAATATTATACTAGGATTATACTAAGTATTAAGTATTATACCAGTATTATAATAGTGATTCTTGGATTCATTTAATACTAGAAGTCATTAAAATCGTTTTTAATATTTTTATTTTCATAATTTTTAGTATAATACATTATAGGAGGCATGGTGGAGTAATGGATAGCGGCTCAGTTTGAGGAATTGGAGAGTAGAGTTCAAATTCCAGTCGAATCCATTACATTCACTTATGTGCTAATACCCTTGGGAAAGGTATGAATCCTCTTCTCATTAACCCAGCTATGGGTAAATAGCAGGACAGACTGGGTTCTATAGCCTTGGATGGCAACTGATCTACTGCAGAAAGAAATGGCAACCTACTGCAGGAAAAAATCTGCCTTCTCAGTCATATATCAAAAGATACATGATCGCCTAAGCATGTATCATGAATGGCACATAACTGACTGATATTTATTATAATTTTTATTTTTAATAAATAATAATCATAAATGTTTTGTAGGCAAACAGAAGTGTGTGAATAATGGGGGCAAATAATTTGAACATTTGTTTGTTTAGTGGCATATCAATTCCTTATGGGTCATTTAATGCTGAAATTTAATTTTCTTAGGAGCAATAGTAATTTCTTTTACAAAAATGTATTGCTGGTAATTTTTTTTATACTTTCATAGTATTTTGACTACAGTTTGGGGTTAATGATTTGTCCATAGTTGGGCTTCTAACAGGTGCTAACACCGCAGAGCAGGGTGAACATGCGAACAACCACAATTAAGAGCTGGTTGCACATTCATCAAAACCTCCCACTCAGAAGCCTTGTTGCTCAATGTAGTATATCCTCATACCCAAGATGGCATTTGAGTGATTGATATGTTTCATATAGATATTTTTGTATAATCAATAGAATACATTTTGTGTTTCATTAATGTCCACCTCCTTTTGTATCCCCCTGTCGTTGTACATCCAAACTTTTTCTTGATCAGTTCAATTAGGTAAAATTAGCAACTGATCTCAAAAAGGACCTACAATCTGTTGTTAACTGAGGCAAGGAATGGCTTGCTAATTTTAATGCATTCAAAACAAAACTGCTCTCTATTAATCGTCTGAGAGGACACTTTCTGCCTTCCATCAGCATGGCTGATGCTAACCTCCAGGTGAGTGAATCTTTGCACCTTCTCATGGTAATGTACTCTTTTGACATGACGTGGAAAGATTGCAGTGAATAAATTTCTAGATCTGTTGTTAAGAAATTTGATTCACTGAGTTGTCCGCAAATATGGAAATGCAATGGGGATTTGAGCAAATTTTTACTTACACAATATGACTGGTAAAAATCCATTTTAAAGCTTGTCCTTGTCTCACATTCGGTAGTCACGTGGACGCAATGAAAGAAAATCCCATCTAATTTCCAATCGTTAACGTAAGTTTGAAACTTATTCACTCAGTATATTACTGAGTCATTAACTTTTTATTTTCTTATCAAGATTGGTTTGCTGAAAGTATATTTAAGAAAATGATAACCAAAAAAAAAAAAGACAAGTTACAATTTCAATTATTAATCTACAGTGTGGTCCGAAAGTCTTGTCACCCCCTACCAAAATGTAATGAGAACAATAGCAGGACAAGTAATACAAAGCACATGTACTGAATTCAGTTTATTCACTTTCATTGGCGCTGTCACACATCGAGAAGGTCTGGATGAACACCATCATTTTTCATCATTTTTGTGGCACAAAATGATGCGGTTGCTGTGGAATTCCAAATGAATGTCGGAGTTAACTTCACCTTTAGTTTGTTAACCCTTTCACCAGGGGTCTCTCTTCTCTGGCTATAAATAGTCACTGACCCTTCGCCTCTTTCTCTTTTTTCCTCAGGCCTTTGGGCCGACACCTGGAGGTAAATCTCTCTTTTTCCTCAGGCTTTCAGCCTTATCACCTCAAAGATGTGAACATTCACAGAGATAGCGTTTCCCAAATGCTGGGAACACGCTAAGCACAATACACACACACACACACATATATAATATTCACACACACACACTTTGTCCTTTGTAACTGTTTCCATGTAACTTGTTATTAATATATATATTTGTATACATATATTATCGGTCTTGTGTTTCTTTTTCTTTGCCTTCTTCTTTTGACTTAATTAAAAGTCCAACCTTTTTATGTAGTTGGACTAGCTAGCAGGAAAATCTGAACCCACATTTGTTTCTTCTACTTCTACTCAACAACATCACAGCCACTGTCCACTACAAGATGTAGCGTGTCTAGGCCTCTCACCACATTTATTTAATTTTGTTTAGGAACCCAAACTGATATAAGAACAAGGGACAAAGCAAAAGTATCAATATATATATATATATATATATATATATATATATATATATATATATATAAATTGTATTCAACAAAGCATACAATAAAGAATATATACTAAAAAAAAGCATGCAATGAGTCAGGCGAGTGGTCTCTCTTTGACGATAAAAGTTTATCAATGTTCTCTGAAAAGGAAATGAAAGAGTTATTAGTCTGTTATAAATGTTTTAGACAGTTCTGCCATGCAAGAGGAAAATTATGCAAGTGTGATAGAATATGTAATTTGAGAGTGAGAAGCTGGGCGCATGTTTTTGACTGATGTGGATACCAGTAGCAGTCAAAGTTTTGGTCCTCTTTTGCTCAGTTCATACAGGTAGTCATTGAATTAGGAATCTGCACAGGAAAAATCATTCTCCACATGCTGAGAATCTGATTGGTTGATACTGACCAATCAGTGCCTGAGTTTTGGGGAGACTTCTGGGAGCCAATTCTCCCAAAAGTGCACAAACTTTACTATATGAAAATATAGCGATTTTAAAATTGTCACTTCAGATAGCTGCATTGCTTTCTGTCCAATGAATAAATAAAGATTTGAATTTGTAAGGGTGTATGTGTGTGTACGATGATCGCTATACGGCGTCATGTACTCTGTGATATTTTATGAAGCCGTGCTTTGTTAGTTGTTGCATAGGCTCTCTGAACGGTGTCCTTTTTAAATTTAATTGATGGGTATTATCGTTCATGTGAAACTCTCTCCTTGATAATCATACCCCACAGTGTGTTGAAATAAAAAAAATTATATCATGTAGGAGGTGACAAGACTTTCGGACCACCCTCTTTCATCACGGACAGACCAACTTCATAAAAATGTTGACAAAGAAAAACTCAAATGGATGTGAACACATATTAAAAAATTGTTAGTAATTCTGTGAAATACAATTTAATAATATAATTAAATTATGTATTAAAATTTAAAAAATTTAAAGTACGAATATTTCAATCATTTAAATAAAAAATAAATTAATTAATGATTTATTCAGAAATATCGCTCACGTCTGAGTATATTTATTAGCAATTTAAAGTAAATAAAAAAACGAACAGTAAATGAAAATATATAATATATATGTAAATAAAACAAAACTACGTATATATTTTTTGATCTGAATAGATTCTTTTGAAAACTTTGTTGAACTCTAAATTTAAAAAAACCGGAAGTCATTTGTCAACTGTTTTTCTTGGCCGTTGATGCTCTTCTTCTACTTTGTTTCTTTCAGTTTTTAAAGCCAGCCTGGATAAGGATATTACACTTATAAACAAGATTAATAAATATATTTACTCATCAGACTTTCATGCAACCATGCAACGAGTTGCACGAATGAAACGTGAACTTCAAATGTTGAAAAACACTTCTCTTTCTGGAATTGCATGCTGGCCAACATCTCTTGAACATCTCGAAGCGCGTAAGTTCGTTTAAATAATACTTATGTTTTCAATAATTTTATTATATTTAATTTATATTTTAAATCTACAATCTTCTTTGTTTTATATAACACCAATAACCGTGTAAGAAGTTGATGGGTTTTCTAAGCGTAGTTTAGAATCTAGATGTGGCACAAGGCACAAAGTGTAGGGGCACCGGCCCAGTACTGTGAGAAATTTATCTGTACAGAAACTGGTTTACTTCTAATTTGTTTATTTGGTCAAATAATATTCTTTGTTTATTTGATTTTATTTTTTTATCTTTCTTACAGCTTGAGATTATAGAAAAAAATAATATTGTTAGAAATTAGTAACATTTTATTTTTATTTTTCAAATTAATTCGTTTCATGCTTTTTTTGTTTGTGTTCGTTTGAATTTTTAAATTTGAAAATTTATTGATACCGATTTTTATGTTTTTTTCTTGGTAATAATTAAAAAAAATACGTTGCTTATTAAAAATAAATACTCGATGCTGAAAAAGAAGTCTCGAAGTTATTAAATGAGTGTTCACTGTTAGTGTTGTTGATTCTATTGAAGTTTTTAAAAATAAAAATAAAATCGGAATGTCTCTTTAAAATTAATATTTTATTTATTAAATAAAAAAGTGTCATAAACTAAAAAACATGAAGTAAAAAAAAAACAACTTATGAACTACACTCACAGACTTTTTTTACGCGGTAAAGTTTTTGTTTTTAAAAATCTAATGAAAGAAATTAATTATTGTGGCGTTTTTAATGACTTAGTTTTTTTTTCTAAACAAAGCTAAGAAAAACTAAGTTTCTTTTAATTTAAATAACATTAAAATTTTTAAACAAATTTTTTTTTTTTTTTTTTTTTTTTTCAATTTAATATTTTAGATACGCAGAGAAGTATTAATTAGCATTTTTGTAATAGTTTTTTTAGCTTTTATATTTTCTTCAAAATCTCAACTTTTATTGACATGGTTTGGAGTTACTTAGTCGTCTGGTTTACATACATGTAAAAAATAAAATAATAATTTTTATTATAATACGGAAAAAAATTCTTGTGTAAGTAAATTAACTTTATTTTTTTTTAAAGACCTTTTACAAAGATATTGATTTTTCTTTTATCGATTTTTAGAAGAGGGTATTCTGTTTATATTGATACGGTACGGGAAAAAATCAATCCCTGGCTCATACACAGTTGTCTGAACTTACAAATATCGAGTTTGAAACAGTAAGTGTACCTGTGTGTATAAAAGCATTTTTCTTTTTTTCCATTAATCATTTAAAAAAGTGAATAGCATGATGGAAAAGACGCCAAACTTGACGAAAACAAAATTTTATCGTCTAAAAATGTTTATTTTAAGAGGAAAGATCAAAGTATTTTGGGGGTATTTTTTTTACATTTTTTTTTTTAATCTACTAGCACGTCCGAAATTTTCGTTAAAAATCTTTTTTTTGAGTCAGCAAAATTGACAGATAATCAATCATGTCAAACATTTTTTCCATTTTATAAAAAAATGAAAATCTCAGTTTGAAATTCTTTTAAAAATCAATTATTATTTTTTCAAAACTTATTTTAAGAAAATCAGAAATTATAATGTTTATTTCAAATATTTTGAACCAAGCTTAACTTAGCTTCTGCACTGAAAAGATGTAGTTTGAAAATAAAACAAAACAGGTCATAACCTTTCGCGTCACTTGACAGGTGACAAAAAACATTTTGATGACATATTGATAGATTACGTGAGGATAATTGCTTCTACGGAAGCAAAGAAGTGAAATTATTTACATTTATATATATATATATTTTAAGCATTCCACCCAAGCAAGGCAGAAAACCACTAGCATGCAAGGGATTACAGAGAGTTGGAGAAAGAGCAAAGAGGGGTGGTAGAGGAAAGGATGAAGAGAAGGTTAGGGGATAGATCAGGGCGTCTGGAGACGTTGATTGACATTACATTTGAATAGATGGAGATTATAGCTTTCAGGGGAATCAAGAAATGGAAAGGGACCTGTAATTCCATAACCCTGAAGCTTATGAAGAAGGCCAGCATGCTAAACCCTATCAAACGCTTTGGAGATATCTAGAGCCACGGCACGAGCTTCTCCATTATAATGAAATGCTTGGTAAACAATTTCAGTTATGGCCATAAGTACATCAGCTGTAGAACATGCAAAGTGGAAACCATATCATGGGATGTAAGGTGCATAACCTATTTGGCGTTGATTAAAGCTTCAAAGACTTTGCCGAAAAGTGGTAGGAGACTGATAGGACAGTAATTAGAAGGGTCAGAAGGGTTTCCAGAGTTCTTAAAGACAGGAACAATGGATGAAGACTTCCAACAGGCTGGAAAACAAGATTCATTGAGGCAGTAGTTATACACTGGAAGCATTGAACATTAAATTGAATGAGAATTTCCGAGCAAAGTATTCAGCCTTGGCGGCAGAAGAGGTCAGAACCTCACACTGGTTGAACAAAGGAGGTATAGAGGGTTTGCTATTGTTAAGTACACTCTTGCAGAGACACCAATAATCCTTGGAGCCGAATTTGCAAGATGCAATACGTTCTTTCATTCGAGCAACAAATAGTGACTTTGCTTCATTGAAGACATGCTTACACTCGTTATGGGCAGAGACAAAGAGACCTCTCTCTCTCTCTCTCTCTCTCTCTCTATATATATATATATATATATATATATATATATATATATATATATATTTATTACTTATTATAAAACGCAGATTGTGTGTGTCTGTACGTTTATATTTTGGATCGGATTTCCTACATTTTTCAACCGATTTCAACAAAACTTCACAGGACTATGTAAAATTACCTTGCAGTGGTTCTGACAGTGCCAAAAATTGGAAAAACACAATTGTTTTTGCATGAAATCAATTTGAAAACACGATTAAGAGGCACCATGAAAATGAAATGGGGACAACTCATATCAAGTTATACTTATTATAAAACCCAGGTTGTTTGTTTGTGTGTGTTCGTTTATATATGGGATCGGATTTCCTACATTTTTCAACCGATTTCAACAAAACTTCACTTTTTTTTTTTTTTTTTTTTTTTTGGCAGGTAGTGTTTCTTATTGTCTTGCACACTTTTTTCTTTATTTTTACATTCAGAATGCTTTAAAAATTCCATTTTACAAGACAATTGTTTATAATAAATTTCTATTCAATTGGTAGACTCATAACGATTGAAAACAATATTTTTGTTTGGGTTTGACCAATTCGTAAAAAAAAAAAAAAAACTAATTAAGACATGCATGTCCGTCAACCTTAAGCAATAATCTTTGTCAATTTTATTTTTCAGTCTTTATGGTGGTCAATACTTGATCTATCTCTTACTGTTACATCCCCAGGCAACACCGGGCTCTACTGCTAGTATATATATATATATATATATATATATATATATATGTATATATGTATATGTAGACACACACACTTAGATCGAAATGACAAATTAATGGCATGTTCAGTTTTTTCCTACTATTTCTCTACTTATTAGAAAATTAAAAACAAATAATTTCCTTATTTTTTAGAGATAGTTGGAAGAATTGGGTCTCCTTATGAAGGTGGAGTCTTCAAATTGAAAATTGATGTCCCTGAGAGGTAAGTATTTGTTTGTTTGTTTTTTGTTTTTTTTTTTCTCCAATCTCTACTTTTCCATGGGTTCTTGAATTTTCCTGCTAGGCAGAATGTCACAAAGTGGCACAAGAAATCTAATTTGAAATTGTATTATTATTTATTTATTTTTTTTATTGACATTTTTCAGTTTAAAATACAACTGATTATTTATTATTTATTTATTTTTTTTTAAGATTCTGAATACCTGCAATATTAAGTATACACACAGTCTTGCCAAAATTGACAATGGTTTTGACAACATCTAATATCTTTACTTGTAAAGGAGTTATGTGAGAATATTTTGCCTAAGGGCTCACTTATCCAGTTCATTTTTTTGTTATAGCATGCCATTGATAAGCACTAGTTTTGTAAACATACATGGTGACAAGTCACAGAATTAGATTAAGCACTTTTTCTAAGGGTGCTAGTGCTAAAGGGAACATGAAGTTTCATCTGGAATTAGAACTTGGTTTGCCAGTTCTATTTTCTCATGCTGATAACCATTTTTAACTTGCCTCTACATGTAATCGGTGTTAATTTACTACTTGTATTAGAAATTTGATATGCAGATCAGTAATTTCCACAAGATAAAAGCACACCACGTTAGCTGTTCTCTATAAAGTCCTCACTGATATTGTGGCAAAATACCTATCTTCATGCATAAAGGCTGGGTATGTTGCTTAAACTTCTCTTTCCTTTTAATTGCTTTCTCTTGTCTTCTTTTTTTTTTTTTTTTTTCCAGGTATCCATTTGAACCACCTCAAGTCACTTTTGTTACCCCTATTTATCATCCTAACATTGATTCTGCTGGAAGAATATGTCTCAATATTTTGAAACTTCCTCCCAGTGTAAGTAAAAATGACATTGCTTGCTTTAACCACAACTTAATGAAACCAAGAGTGTCATTTGGATTAGTTGTCATTTTACAAACTGACGAGAATTTACTCTCTTGAAAATTGGCTTGTCAGATTTTTTTTTTTTTTTTTTTTTTTTTTTTTTGTGGTGTTTAACAGCTTCGGGAACATTTGTCCCATAAACAATATTTGGCGGACTCATGTGAGTCCTGGTTGACAAAACACACACAAAACATGGAATTTAAAACCTACAATTAATGCATGTTATAAACTAAAGGAATTACCTGTGTACACAATAGAAATCAAATCAATGTTGATAGTAGCTGTTTCCAAACTTAATAAAAACAAAGTTTTATCATCAGAATGTTTAAGAGGAAAGGCCAAAATATTTTTTTGATTATTTTATTAAATTTTTTAATCCTTTTTAGTGCATTCAGAATTTTGGTTAAAAGTCTTGTTTTTCTTGCATCAGTGGTTCGGCCAAAGATTAGTCTTTTTTGTGGAAAAAAAACACATTGTTTTGGAATTTCTAGCAAAAATCAAATAATTGTCGGATTTCAACAAAATGTTCAGGCTTGTTTGTTCTTTTTAAAACTATCTAATTATTTAATTGGAAAAGCTTTTAATTGCTTTTATTAATAAGACATATTAAGAACACTGTCGTCCCAAACAAATTTTGGGGATGAATAATGTCTTTTTACAAAAATTTTCATTTCTTTTTAAATTTTAATTAGAATAATTTAACTTTTAAATCTTAAAATTCTATATTAATTTCACCTTTTTGGATGATATAAGTAAAAACTATATTTACTAATAATAAATGGAAAAGCTTACTACAAATCATCAAACACCAATAGTTTTTTAAAAAGAATTATGAATTTTTTTGATGTGTATAAATGTACTGATTTTTGTAGGTACAGATGATCATAAACAACATTATCAAAAATAAGAGCGATAACTATAGTAAATTTAAACCCAGGAAATAGCTAAAATTCAACAAAACATTAGATTACAGACAATATTTTCTTAAATTTTTAAGATTATTGAGTAATTAAAAATTATATATAAAAGGCACTTGCAGTATATTCAGCTATTTACAGCTAGAGTCCCCATAGAATAACACTAGATAAGTGTCAATCAGTCATCATGTTGTCTAACCTCTCATTAGCTTAAATAAACAGCTATCACTGTTTTAAAAAATGCATTTTTGTGATATTTTAAACTTAAAATTCTTTGAAATAAAGTATTTTGCTTATTGGAAATATTAAATTTAATCTATTAGATTGAAATTAAAACTAGAATAAAAGCTTCAAGAAAAATTTTTCAATTTTAAAAATTCATTTTAAACTTTAGATATCACATTTTTTTGTGGCAGTACCTAGTTTATAGTAATAAAAAATGTTGAATAAAAAAAATCCATTCAAAAATTACATGTCCATGTGTTTTTGAAGATGAGAAAGCATTGTTCAATACATAAAATAAAGCCCCCACGTAATCCTGAAATACCATAAATGTGACAAAACACATGCCACTGTATTTCCATTTCTTCAACGACAAACGTTTGTTAGTTGACTTAAAGCATTTAAAAAGCTTGTGTTTAAATGCACTACAAATGTCAAGCAATCAGTTAAGTCTTCCTGTATAATCACCGAAGTTAAGCAATGTCAGGCCTGGTCAGTACCTACATGGTTGACCACTTCGGAATACTGGGTGCTGTAAGCTTGGTTTTGAATGGTTTAATCGATAATGGCTAAGAATTGTTGATCTGAGAACCAGGTTAGAGTTCTTGTTGGGTTTGTTATATTCACTTATGTGCAAATCCCCTTGGGAAAGGGATGATTCAACCTCTTCTCTTCCCAGCTATGTGTTCATTAGTAGGACTTGTATCATTAAATCATTATTATCCCAAAACAATTTTTTTAAATTCTTACATATTTTCTGGCTTTAAATAACCTGCAATGGGTTAATAAACCATAAAAAAAAACTAGTTGATTAATCAATCATTCAATTTTGGTTTGAACTTGCTAATGCGGTAATGGTGTTTATTAACCTCCATTTAAAGTTATTTTTTTTTTTTTTTTTTTTTGCAAATACTTTTATTAAAGCTAATGTTGTCAGTTACTCATAAAGCACCATTAGGAATTGTTAATATAAAACCTTTGCCATAAACTTTATATTAGTAGCAACGACAGAAATCTCGTATATATCCAAATACGATGGAAAAGAAAAAAAAGCTATTAAAATCTTTACATTTTGACTTGTCGCAAAGCACTATAGACACGCTGTGTAACTTACTATATAACAACCCCTCCCCTTCACATCAGTTCATTCAAGGGAAGTAACTTAATTTTGGGTAGCTTCCCTTTATAGATTTTAGCTAAATTCATTCTTGATAGTTTCATTGACAAAGCCTATCCTTATTTATTCATTTTTTAACTAGTTTAAAAACCGCATTTCGGGCGACTTTAGGCTAGTTCCTGCGGGGATGGGATCTTTCGGACTTTTACCTTCAGCGTCCTATGTACGCTATAAGTTATAACAACTTAGGGTAAATTTGCTTTTTAAGTCCCGCTCTAAATATCTATAAAAATTTTCCAAAATCGTCATATTTCCGTGTGCTTGTACATGCTGAACACGAATTAACAATTAAATTATGAAAAAACCTACCGTTTTGTAGTTATCGACAAGAAAAAATCGGACTAATTCTGTGTAATTCGTCCGCCATTATGGGCATTGTTTTTACTAATTAACCGTGGGGTACTTCCGGGTATATTCGTTGGCGTAAGCATAAATTTTTAGCCTATTTGCTTCTTTTACAGAATTTCGGCGCAGAAATCACTACGCACTACTGTAAAAAGCAATGTATTTTTTTCATGGTAAAAATTTGTTTATTTTCTTTACATCTGTTATCCTCACCACACTTAATTTTATGAAAACTCAAAAAATTCAACGGCATGCCTTTTATTGATCATATTAATTAAAAGCAAACTTTGAAGAATATTTACCCAAAATTCAGCTCTGAATTGTAACTTACAAAACTAAGATATTAAGAAAAGATTTTGTCTTTTATGAATAATTTATGAAAATATTTCACCACTGCTATATAAAAATTCATAATAAATAAAAATAATACTATAAAATTTCATAAAAGATATGTGTAAAGCTAAAGTACCTACAAAAAAAAAACAATAAAATATAAGATTGCTGAAAGTATTTGTTAATTTTTAAAAATTACTGTGTAGTTAAATTAGTTCACTTAAGATTTAAAAAAAAAAAATGTCACTTCTGTTCTGTCTGTCCGATAACTTTGCCCGACCTAAAATATCAATACATCAATTTAACTGACAGTTAACACCTAGAAAACAAGTCGCCATGGTTAAAACATGTTTCCTAATGGTATTCTGTACAAAATTCTTAAAAGGATGGAAAAATTGAATAAAATAACCAAAAAATATTTTGGCCTTTCCTCTTAATAATAAACCATTTAAATGATAAAAAAAATTTTTCATCAAGTTTGGAGCCTTTTTTAATCATAATATGCTCTTTTTTGGCGAATTAAATCATTTAATTATGGTTTAATTAGATATCAGTTGCAATTGCAACAAAAAGTGAAATTAAAGTTAAATCTTTTAATAAAGAATTGTTTTTTAAACCTTTCACTTCGATATTAAATTTAACTTTAAATGAGTTATTTATTTAATTTTTTAATCATGTGTAGTTACAGTTGTTACTACCTGTTGTTTATGATTCTCAGAGATTGAAAAACGAACTGACAAGTGGACACACATACACTGCACTTTATTACTATAGATTGAACAACAAAACCATTTTCTTTTTCAGGGTGGTTGGAAGCCATGTTTAAATATTAGCACTATTCTTACATCCATCCAAGTCCTCATGGCTGAACCAAATCCAGATGACCCCTTAATGGCTGACATTGTAAGTTTATAATTGCTACTTGAAAACATAATGTATTCGTATTTCAAATTGGGGATAGTAATGGTAATATTAGCCATTTCCTTATAAGGAAACATTCGGCACATTGACAAAAGCAGCCAGTACTGTTGTTGGTTGAAATTTATTAAATCTTTCTCTTTCAGGAAAATGACTTTCTCAAATCCAGTAGTTGTTATCTTGCTTTCCAGTACTGATGGGGGGGGGGTTCCTTCTTGAATTTACTGGAACATGAAATAATGAGTAAAGAGGGCTTGGAGAATATACATTTTGAAGGCAATTGGGGGCAGAGGGGAAACGGTAACCTATATAATGTGTAAATGAATGAAAAAACAAGGTGTGGCTGAGATAGGGAACAGACATTACTTAGAGTGTAGGAAGTTTTGGAGAGCCATGATTGCCTAGATCCTAAAGGAATATCACACATAAAAGATGTATTTGTATTGAACAGTTCAATTAGAGAAAATAATTTTCCTCAACTGACACAAAGTACAACTACCCACACAGTGTGCTTAGTGGTTTAAATATTTCTCCAGAAGAATCTTCTATGGAAAATAGTAAAATTTGTTTCTTTGAGAGATGGAAATAATTTCTGACAGTCGCAATAGGTACCATGGCATCAATTTTAATATTTTTAAGATATTTACCACATTTTCTATTTAGCTATGAAGAAATACAGATTGAATCAACAGTATTGTCTGATTTCTTTCTCTCTTTCTCTCTCTCTCTTTTTCTCTCTTTCTCTCTCTCTCTCTTTTTCTCTCTTTCTCTCTTTCTCTCTTTCTTTTCTCTCTCTTTCTCTCTCTCTTTTTCTCTCTCTTCTCTCTCTTTCTCTCTTTCTCTCTCTCTCTCTTTCTCTCTCTCTCTCTCTCTTTTCTCTCTCTTTCTCTCTCTCTCTCTTTTCTCTCTCTTTTCTCTCTCTCTCTTTTTTCTTTTTCTCTCTCTCTCTTTTTCTCTTTCTCTCTCTTTTCTCTTTTCTCTCTTTTCTTCTCTCTTTTTTTTCTCTTTCTCTCTCTCTCTTTTTTCTCTTTTTCTTCTCTCTCTCTTTTTCTCTCTCTCTCTCTTTCTCTCTCTCTCTCTCTGCTACTAGATGTAACCAGAAGTTCTATACTAACAGTTCCTTCTCTCACACTTCTCCTATCCTTGCTTTACAGTCAATTTTGTCAGAAATTCAAATACAATGTTAATCATCATCTTCATCATCAGTCTCCTTGAATCCTGTTATTTTATTGTCTGAGATTTACCTTAACCCCCCCCCCCTCCGAGACAGGTTGTGACACAAGGTCAGTTTTTAATGTGGAGACTCGTCAGTTTCCACTCAAGTCTTGGTCTAAGCTGGTTTTAGCTTGTTATACCATTGATACATAACAGATGTCATACAACAGTGGGGGGATGCAAGGGAGGAGATAAGGTTTCCAGCACGGAACAGATACTACAATTGCAGCATCCATTCTGATGCGGGGGGGGACTCCCTTTTCTTCCTCTGTCAATCCCTTTGACAGAATCTGGGATTAAAGCCTCTGTTCTTTTATTGTCCCCTCTCTCCTTAATGATTTTTCTTTAATTCTTTCATTCACAGTAACCCCTTGCATCTTGCAAGGTGCAGATCAATGTAAGACATTTGTTTATCTGATTTATTTAAGGGGGAAATTATTAAGGAAATAGCTATGTTCAAAGTACACTCCCTGATGGTGAATTCACAATTACAACCAAGCAGAAAGTGGTATACCTGCTTGCAGAGTTTGATGTCAATTTTCTTAAAATTTGCAGTGATTTGAGCTTTCATTTTGTGAATGATATGAAACTTTTCACAATAAACAGTCTTTCATGACTCTCCCTCCCCAACTACAAATGATCTAGGCTGGTGGGGGTCTTGAGGACTGAAGTGTCCCAGCCACTCTGTTTGGCTCCAGCATCTGATCTGCCTTTTGTGGAAAGTTTCATAAAAACAAAAAGAATTAACAAAGAAAATAAACTGCAACAGAAATATTAATGACATCTCTTCCAGATGCTGGGGCATGGCTTTATGACTCACCCTGTAAATATATATATATATATATATATATATATATATATATATATATACACTACGCTCCAAAAGTCTGTATCCATTAACAATAGCACATTTAAAAAAAAAAAAAAAAAAAAATTTAAATTTAATTTTTTCGTCTCGGATGCTACCTGAATTTTACCAAAAACAAAATAATTTCCATGCCTGAGGATGACTGAATGAATAGTTGAAAGTAATTGCGTATTGAAGAAAGACCTTATACAGCTTATAATTTTTAAAAACAAGGATCATAACATTCATCAAATGATTTGTAGGTTAATGCACCTTTAAAATTTTGTTTGCGAAAGGATTTCTCCATTTTATATCATTAACTTTACTAATCTACTTTTTGTATGAATGATTCATTGTAATATAAATTGAACTGCACCACATATTTGAGATATATATATATATATATATACACATACACACACAAGAAAGATTTCTGTTGTTTTTTTTAATCTCTGCAGAAAGTGGATCATTATGAGAATACTAGAATTTTAATTAATTTCCATCTCTCTTTAACCAATCAAAAAGAAATATTGCAATCCATTCACTTGACAGCATTTGCGAATCTTTTTTTTTTTTCTGGACAGTAACCTCTAAATCCAATGCACAAATTCTCATGCCTTCAAAACCACCAATAATCAACTTGTCCTTCTTATAACCCTACTGCATATCTTTACAGATCTGACATTAGCTAATAAATATCACAAATAACTTTGGAGTGGCATAATAAAATAAAAATACAACTTCAGCTTTGGTTGGCAATAGCAGGTTTGTTACAAAAACTTGTATAATAAAATTTGACTTGTTATTCATATTTCTTATATAAAACACTGTCACTTATGATTTTTTTATTAGAATTTCTTCCAACTTGATTTTCAGTTTATTTCATCGCAAACTGAATTGCAAATAAAAATAAACATTCAGCAACCTGTCTTTTTTTTTTTTTTTTAGCCACCTATTTTACTGATAGGCTACAAAGGCTATGCAATCACAATCATTCAGATTTAGCCATATATTTTTATTCTTTCTTTTTCTGAAATGTCTGATACAGAAGCTTTTTTAAAAAAATTTATAGACACTAGTAGTATTAGATTTGATAAAATTAGATGCTTTTAAGAGCTTTTGAATGGAAGCACATATTGCTTAAGAAAATAGCAAAATTTGCTTTGGAAGCCAAAAAAAACCCCAAAAATCGCTTGTCAGCAGTTACTTAAAAATTTCATAAAGCTGAGAAAAAACTTTCTTGCAAAAGGAAACAACTTGTCTTTTATTCAGTCTTTCTCCAGCAAATATTTCCTGATTATTTTTTTTTCTCTCTCTTCTTAATTGCTTTTATTTTTTCAGGCAAATGAATTCAAATATGACAGTGAAGAGTTCAATCAAAAAGCTCGACTCTGGACGCAAAAGCATGCCATGAAAAACAATTGTGTGAGTCAGTTTTTGCGATGATTTCTTTTTCTTAAAATCTATAAAGTTATTGCTGATTGGATGAATGAAGAATTATTTATCAAAGCGTTGTTTTATTTACTGATGCAGTTCCTGAAAATCTATATTGTAATGGAGTTTTAATGTGTCATTCATATATTTCAGCAAATAACCAAAATAACCAAATCTCATTTCAGTTCAAAGAAAATTAGAAATCTCATAGGTTGAGTCATAAATAATTTCCGCTTTTGTTTATCAACTTTATTAAAAAAAATAATAACATACTGATTACAATGTACTTGATTATGTATTCACCATTATTTGCAATGACTTGTGACCACTTATCACACAGCCGTTCAATACCTTTTGAGTAAAAATTTAGCAGTAATCTCTTGTGAAAATTTTTGGTGACCTCTTGAATCTGGTTTACATTAGACAAATTTTGCCCTATCAATGTGTTTTGCAGCTATCAAAAAAGGGTAATCAGTTGCTGCAAAGTCAGGTGAATGTAGCAGTGTGGGTCAAACAGACAGACTGTATTCCAAATTTCTTTCCCTATGTTATTCGTGCTGTATATGGCCTGGCATTGTTATGGAGGAATACAACATTATTCCTTTACTTCACTGTGTATACTGTGACTGCTATACAACAAAAAAGTAAGATACATTAGAGTACTCTGACCTGATTTTTAACTGATACCTATTAATTAGGATAATACATACATCATTACAATTGGTCCCCTCCACCACAAAAAATGACTTAGAAGTCAGCCTAATAAAGAAATATTTTACTTGTGATACATACAGCAATGTATGCATGATAGGGTGCTGAAAAGATCTAAGCCTGACTAAATAGGGGTTAGAAAAAAAAGATTCTGAATTTTCATCAGTTGGGCTGATTATGGGAAAGTGGTTTAGACTGAAAACATTTCAATTCGTTGATCAGGCAGTAAAATTTGTATACAGTAGTTCAACAGGAATAGCCAACAAACTGCATCACAGGGAAAAAATGTCAATCAACACATATACAATCAGCGCAAAATAAGGGGTACCTGAAGATGTCTCAAGGATACATGACTGAAACATTGTCATAGACATTATTACAAATGTTTGAATAATAGTCAGAGAAATTTGTTTTGAACAGGACAATATAATTAGTGAATTTATTTTTTATTTTTTTACAAGCAAGGCGATAATGCCAAGGAACTACTATGATTGAAAGGGAAGGAAAAGACTTTAGACAGAATCAGAAACCAAATCTTAATCCAGAAACAAGGGATAAACTTCTACTCCTGTTCAAAAGACTGGAGAGGAGTGTGAACCGGGCAATAGGCAAACTTATCTACTCTTTTAAAGCAGAAACATTATCTGGATTGTAACTGATTTTTAAAAATGAATATTGAATTAATAATTTTTGGAGAATAACAATGATTTTTCCAGATAAAAAGTCCTACTATTTAACATGTAGCTGAGGGGAGGAAATGGATTCCATTTGCATGTAAGTGAATATAATGAACCTGTCTGGGCCACAATATAAATATAGATTAAGTTCCTGTAACATTTAATGTCCCATCTGGAAATGCTTTTTTTTTTTTTTTTTTTTTATCACCATTGTTGATGAAACGATAGTGGTGATGGGCAGGATTTTTTTTATTTATAATTTAAAAAAAAAATTTATCCCGTTTTGTATGCTGTTAGCATCAAAAAAGTGACAAGACAAAAATCCATTAGAAAATGTTTTTGCCAAGAATTAATGTTATTTACAAAATTTACTGTTTATTCTAGTTTTTAATTAAAAAAAAACATTTTTTTCTTTATGTGTTTATCTGTAGGAGAAGCCATCTAACTCAACTAATGAATCCTCATCTGAAGAAGCAGTCCTTCCTGAAAAGACAGAATCTGTAGAACTAGGCAAACGATCTCTACCCTTGACAGAGGCAAATAAGCAAGTTTTGAAAGTGGCCAAAACTAATAAATTATCATAATTCTATCACTTTTTTTTTTCTGTTTGTCCTGATAATATCAGACATGAACTCATTAAAAGTACTAGAAAAAAATTGAAGTGACAAATTTTATATTTGATAAAATGTGTTTTTTTATTGTTTTCATTCTTATTTTGACAAATGTTATATATTTTTCTGTTCTATAATAATAAACAAATCCCAAACTATTTTTTTTTTTTTTTTTTTTTTTTTTTTTTTACACAATTCAAATACCTCTATTGTCTAAGTAATAGCATTTATAAAATGATTTCACATAGCTTGATGACACAGGAAGATAACATATCAAGATTTTATGCATATTTTATATACACCTTGAAATACAATCTTCTAAAGCATATATAAGTATTAAGCAAACTTACAAAGGTCTTTGTGATGCAAAGCGTCTATATATTACTTAAGGAGAATGTATATTACCAGAAACTTAAGTAAAACTAATGTTTTAATTTTAGTAATGAAATAAGGAATATTTTGAATTATTTATGATAAATTAATTTTTTTAAAATTCTGCTGAATAAAGGTGTTTTTTTTTTTTTTTTTTTTTAAGAATATTTGTCTGTCATCGAGACTAAAAAAGAAATGAATTGGACAAGTAAAAGACATTTAG